AACTTTGCTTCTTTACCATTTACAATACGATCATTACCACAGTTATGAAGTTCTTGTGAACATTCTCTACTTTGAACAGTTTTATTACCATTTAAAACAGTACAATTGATTTCATTCGATAAATCATTATAGATTACAGGGCTTTTTCCACTGGAATGTACAAATTTTCTACACAATTCAGTATTATTATCATTATTATTGTTGTTATCATTAGATGAAACAAGTGATTTTTCAACATTCCGCTCAGTTGGTCGATGCAATGAAACTCCAGGTAACACTAAAGGTATTTGTGTGTTCGAATTAGCCTTCAACTGATCATTATGAGGTCGGCCCTCGTGTTGTCGTTGATGATGATAATAATTGGAATGTATTCTATTCTTATCTTGATGTTTAATTAAGGATCCTATATGTAAAGCAACAGAGGTAGCCATTTCAATTTTACGTTCTGCAAATCCAGTCACAAAGAATTGTGCCATTGTAATCGATGGTCGATAAGAGAAAACATCTCGAAGAATACGATAAAGCACTTCCATAAATCTACTGTCTGTTGTGCCTGAATTTATATACATATATGACGAATCAAGAAAAAATGAATGAAGTGATAATTATGGATAATACTTGGTAAAATTGAATGTATTATTTGCCTAGTACAAATTTATTTATCTGGTTACGAACAGAGAGTTTTGTGTTTGAAGCCTAGCGATACTACTCATCCTTCTGAAATGAGATGAAGCTGTTTCCAAGACTGGGGCTAAATAGTCTGAAGCCCCCAAATGCCCTGGTATGGCAGAGAGTGGGGTGCGCCCTCTCTCCCTTTCGAAATGCTCTCACACGCCTACGCGTATACAGCTTCTGCCAGGGAAGTCCTACTCACTGCCTTCTCGTGGCGGGGGTGTTGTTTACGAAAATGAGAGGACGAAAAGCGAATGTCCGGCGCTTTAACCGGATCCAAACCAATGGTGCACATGGGCTCCAGTATCCTGAAGGAACAAATGGAGTATGAACCAGTTGTTGGTCACCGGCTACCATGGGACTGCATCTCCTTACGATGCTCCACTGCCTTGTGGATCAGACTTTTAGGTCAAAGGCTCAGGGTGTGGCCCCTTCAGAAACCCACCTGCTTCGGTCTGGGCATGAGGGCAGTATCACAGCCCACACACACAAATATGGTGTGGCGCATATAGATTTGATGCCCTCTTGTACTAATATTTGTGTTCAAATAAATAAATAAAGTTTGAAGTTGAATTTTTCAATCACTAAGCCGTATATGTGATAATTATATAAGGAGTAACGTGGTTTACTTGTTATGAGTTTGCGCTGAGAGAAATCCCGCTGACACTGGTTTTGTCTAAGTTTATGATTTTCTAGGAGTACGTGAAATCCAGTCTAGTATAGTATTTTTTTAATAAATTTAATCCAATTCAAAATCGTGAAAATAACTTCACAAGAATCTGAACTCAAGATAATATCTACACACATACTGTGTCATATTTGACAAGAAGAAAACATAAATAAATTTATTAATGGTAATAATGGATGTGTAAAGTCATACCGAGCATTCCAAATCCAAGTTCAACGAGGTAACTGGTGACTTTTGCATTATAATCACAGAGTAAACGCCGATAAAATTCAACAAATGCAGATGACTGACCCAACACCATACTAAAATAAACAAGAAAACATGTATCTATGTGTAGCATCGATAAAATATAACTCACTAGACTGTTAAGCGTAATTATTTTCTAGTTATTAATGGTCAAATCGAATGCTGTGTATTTGAAATCTCAAATCATGGACTGATTTTATTAAAAAACTGCTGAAAACTAGGGTGTAGTAGACAGCTACTTCGTTTTAGTACGGGACCCCTTAGAATTGTGAATTCAAAACTCCACCAAGGATTGATCCCATGATCTTAGGGAATTTCGGCTAGTACTTAAACATCAGACAAATCAAGAACGGTAAAGCAGCGTGACCAGACAAAATTCCAGCAGAGGCATTGGAAGCAGATGTAGCAGTAACTGTAAAGATACTCCACATTCTCTTTAATAAGATTTCGGATGAAGAACAGGTACAAACAGACTGGAAAGAAGGACACCTCATCAAGAAACCAAAGAAAGACGATCTCAGCAAGTGTGAGAACTATAGAGGCATCACTCTTCTCTCAATATCAGGAATATGTCTTCAACACGGTATTGTTAAACCGGATGAAAGACGCAATAGACGCTCCACTTCGAGGTCAACAAGCTGGATTCCGTAAGGATCAGTCGTGCACAGACCGAATTGCGACACTACGGATCATTGTGGAACAATCAATTGAATGGAATTCATCACTCTAAATCAACTTCATTGACTACGAAAAAGCATTTGATAGCGTGGACAGAACAACACTATGGAAGCTTCTTCGATACTACGGCGTGCCTCAGAAGATAGTCAATATCATACAGAATTCCTATGATGGATTAAACTGCAAAATCGTGCATGGAGGACAGTTGACAAAGTCGTTCGAAGTAAAGACCGGTGTCAGGCAAGGTTGCTTACTCTCACCCTTTCTCTTTCTCCTGGTGATCGACTGGATCATGAAGACGTCAACATCTGAAGGGAAACGCGGGATACAGTGGACATCTAGGATGCAGTTGGACGATCTAGACTTCGCAGATGATCTGGCCCTTCTATCCCAAACGCAACAACAAATGCAGGAGAAGACGACCAGTGTAGCAGCAGCCTCAGCAGCAGTAGGTCTCAATATACACAAAGGGAAAAGCAGGATTCTCCTATACAACACAGCATGCACCAATCCAATCACAACTGACGGAGAGGATTTGGAAGATGTAGAAACCTTTACATATCTGGGCAGTATCATTGATGAACATGGTGGGTCTGATGCAGATGTGAAAGCGCGGATCGGTAAAGCAAGAGCAGTATATTTACAAGTGAAGAACATCTGGAACTCAAAGCAACTGTCAACCAACACAAAGGTCAGAATTTTCAATACAAATGTTAAGACAGTTCTACTGTATGAACAACAATTAAATAGAACTAAAAAGCAAGGCCCAGGACAGAGTGGGTTGGAAAATGCTGGTCGGCGGCCTATGCTCAATTGGGAATAACAGGTGTAAGTAAATTATAAGTAAAGCTTAACCTGCAGGTCCACTGCAATAGCATCTAACGTTTTACACTTCGAACTTCAGTCGATTCTCGATGTTGCAAGGATACCCTTTGTGGTGGAGTGGTATCGTTTGAACGGACATTGAAAACCGCAGATAAATAGATAAACTAACTAATATGAAACAAGCACATATAATTCTTTTTGAGACCCCATACAAGACATAAGTCTTTCAGCTGAAGTAACAGATGTAAGGCCAATATTTAATACTATCAGCCTAAATTAATTAATGATGTAATGCAACAGTTCATTAATTTGTCTAGGTAAAGCCATAGGTAAGCGTACTCGATTTTCAAACGATGGGCCGTAGACTTAGATCTTTCTTTGTCTGTATCATTTCGGTTAGGTGGATAGTATCAATAGCATTATCACAAAAAGTATGAGTCAAAGGCGATTTTACATTAACATGTACTCTATTTTTGAATTGGGATGTAATAAGAAGAACTTAACATTCTCTAATCGATATATCATGATGTCGTATTATGAAATAGTATACAGATAAACAACATAGAATCTCAAATATTAGTGAACCAGTTCTAAGTACGATATATATATAGTACAGGAGAGGAATAATAAATAGACTGATCTTATTGAGGACATCTTCAAAGTAATCACAGTAAATCTAATCTATGTGAAACTATAACCAGAACTTACCCTTGAAAATTGACATCATAACTAAATCGAATTGAACGTAGTTGACGACGTAAATTTTCGATAGATCCTTTTATATTAGGCATCAGTATGGTTCACCAGTTTCTGTTAACCGTATTATTGCATTGAAATAAGCTCAAATCTTAAACAAAAAAAGAACTGTTGACTTTAGCAATTGCACTATCTTGAACATAAGCAATAACGAGATATCAGCATTTGTTTAATTAGTTTCCTTATGTAACTAAAACGTTAATCATTTGAAATTATTATAGTTCGATCGCATGCATAGTTGTCATCCATCCTGCCACAAAACAAGCGCAAATTTAAGTTCGCTAAAAGTTGATAAACAAGAATTTAATGAGGCTGCATACTGAAGCAAGAACATATCACTAACAACAAAGAATCATCTAGACAATACACCAGAGTAAACGGTAGTCAGTTAACAATATGGTCTATTGGGATTGTTAAGGGTACCAAATAGTAATCTATAATTAAGGATTATGAGAATTCATGTTGGATATTCTGATGATAGAGCTCAAAATTGACCATATTCTGGAATATTTACATATACGCACATTATGTGCACAAGAGCAAAGGGATTCACCAACTGGATATAACTCGATTCCGATGATGGAAAAATTCAAACTCTTATTTCTAAAAGTATTTATCGCTCTCAAATTAATTATTTTCCGTATTACATACAGTTTACAAATGAAGCAACTGAAACTAATCTATCTTACACTGTATTATAGATTGACTGAAGATTCGTAAGCATAAATACAATTTGCGAACGATCTATAATTAATTTTTCGTGTAAAAAAAAACACTGATATTAAGGTTAAACGACTAACTTGATTCAAAACAAAAGCAAAATAATGGGGGGAGTGCAAATTCACTCAATATACAACACAATAATTTGTGTTGTTTCTTTCCAAACACTAATTGAGAATGGCATGAAATTAAACTTACACATCAAAGCTCACGTTTAACAAAAGAACGGATAAACGCAAGTAAGCGTCAACTAGATTCATTTAACATTGGTGAGATTTAACAAGAAAAATAACCAGACAGAGAAGTGAAAACGAAGGGAAAAGCAACAATTTTACACTTTTCCTCCCTTCAAACTAACTTTTATTTCTAAGTACATTCCTCTGTACATTAATATAATAATAATAACAATAATAATAATAATAATAATAATAATAATAATGTGTACAAATGTACTTTTGCAGATACAAATACAAATTCAAACGACAAGTGAAATCATAAACAAGTCAAAATAAGAACAACAAATAAACGAAATCAGAAAAAAAGAAATCCAGAACATTATTTTCAAAAAATAAATAAATATTCAAAGAGAAAGACAAATTCATTTGCACAAAAAAATCAAAATCAAAGTACATGGGTTAGAAAATAAGTTGAAAAGTAGTACTCTTGGTTAAGTATTAGTATCATTCACTGATGTATAACAACAGGATCGTACTAATAACCGTCTTTGATCCCTGATAAAATGACAGAACTAACCACCTGCATAAATTATATTCGGTGGTAAAGCTATTTGGATAGTTGAATCTTCAGGATCAGCAAAAGACGTAAGTCTTGATGGATAAGGATGAATAGCACGTGGTTGTTGTCGTCGTGGTGGAGAATATTGAACATTATAGGCTGATGATGATGAACTTACGGATTTTGATTTATGAACAGTAGATGTTACTGAACTTGACTCTTTGTCATCATTCAATACACTTTCAATTGGAATACGAGTAACACGATCGGATTTTGTTTGGTGATTTATTACAGCTGCCTCTAAATATTCATCAAGTGTTCGTTCTGTACATTTTGCTATTGGAAAAACAAAGTGAAGAAAAGAGTGAACTACTACAAACAAGTGATTTGTAACATAAATACAAAACAATGTATAGACATAAAAGAGAATAGATAACCTACAATCTTCTATTATATAATTTGTTATTTATTGAATTACAAATTATACCAATCTTTAGTGAAGGTGTACAATCATATTTATTAACAGAAGTACTAAAAACCTACGAAAATTTAACATCATCTCATTGTCGAAAGGTAACAGTAAGAATGAAATAGAGTATAGAAGCGCGATATGAAATATCGTCTACTTGACGATAATAAACGAACAAATAAAAAATAATCAACAAAATACGATATAGAACAGATAAGTAATTGTTGATTGTTTGGTCCAAGAACATATAGGAAGGTGAAGAGAAAACAAACAGGTGTCAAGAAATAACTAATAGGATAAAAAGGGATTGGTAATAAGACTGTGATAAACTAAGGGGTTGAATATATAGTTTCCGAACATAAAGATCAGGCTTGAATCGATGAATTACCAAAGCCTTCGCTGCGAACAGGTTTCTTAACCAGCTTTCCACAGGACAGGGCAATCTAATTTTATGAATAATTGATGTTAATAGAACAATTCCCCGTTTTATTATAGATAACACATACAGAAAATACATAACTATTCTCTGCAACTTTTGAGAAGAGAAACAATTAACATAGTATGGCATTAAGTTGCTTAGACAAAGTGATTTGTTTCATGGTAACAACTACTAATCTAACGACACTTTAAACTAGGATATGACTTCTAGTTTCTCTCTTAGCCTCGATTACTTTCGAGCACATACATTGTAAGGAAGATCTATATTGTAAAGAGCTTAGATTTCGAATTACAATCGCGTTCATTCAGCTATATGTCAATTAAATTGTCATAATTATTTACAAACATGAGCAAACTGAACAAGTGTCACTTGAATCCAGAGCAACAGAAAAGGAATTTATACAATGAAAAATCCACTGAAATCAAGTATATGGAGTTCACACTTAAAATCAATACAGACTCCCCAAATGCAAAGACACATACTATAAATCGTTATGCACCTGACTACAGTTGATACATTAAAACCGTGGTCGAGCCTGCCTATATATATCACTGAAAAAAGTTAAAGACGTATTAGACAGTGGATTTGTATACCAAACCATCAGACGTAAATAATCAACAAATCCAAATTTAGAATACACAACTTACTACTGATTACATTAGTAGTAGCTACCCCAAAAAGACTAAATAATCGGAGCAACCTGAACATGAGTCAAGTTTAGAAGTAAGATGAAGTTTCAGTCTAGGTTTTCATCAACTTCTGACGAACATTCACAACTCATAATTCATTTCCAATATTTAAATACGAGTCTTATGTCATTTTATGTGTCTATTTTGTCTCCAAGATACTATTGGATGGGGCGTCTAGCAGTATAATATAAAGATTCCAACTTAGGTCCCCAACCACTAATCACGATTATCGTCAATCGGTGAGTCAGCTACAACGTAGGACCAGGCACATATTTGCATCGGTCCAAGTTGCCATACCTCATTCGCACAGAAAGACAAACACCGGATTCATAGAAGTAGTTAATTCAATGGTGGTAGTATAAAAAGAAAGATTGCATATGAGGATATAGTACATTAAGAAAGAATTAGTTCGTAGAAAGATATGAAGTGACTTCAATCTCATAGTTTAAGGTAAAACAGAATGTATACACCGACGCCATTGTGATAGATTCTGAACCATTTCACCGATAGTCTCCAACCATTAGTTACGATAGTCAAACGGACTCCAACCAAGTAGTCTGCATCTACCAATATGGCTCAGACTAATAGTGACCTCAAGCACTGATACCACATTTTGATTTGGCCGCCCCTAAGTTTCTCCCAACCGTCTCCAACACTACTCAGCATTGCGTGTCGTGGTAATCGATGTTCAGACATACGCAGCACGTGGCTCAACCATCTCAGTCGATGAAGATTTACAATCACATCAACTGATTTACCATTATTCCTTAATACCCTGTGTCTAGCCTTACTATTACTTACCCAGTGATCCCAGCAGATGCGAACAACATTACTAAGGCATCTGTGGTCAAGTACTTGTAGTTTACGACTATCTTCTGCTCTTAATGACCACGTTTCTCAGCCGTAAAGTAAAACAGAACGAACTGCCGCGCAGTATACTCGTCCCTTAACTGATAGACGGATATCTCGCCTTCAACATAGGTGACGAACATTGGCAAAAACCAAACGAGCTTTTCGAGTCAATGCTGAGATTTTGTCAGACCCCAACTCATTAGGGCTGATCAGACTTGTAAGATAAGTGAAGTTATCGACACGTTCGACTACTTCACTCCCTATTCTTTATTCAGGTGTTGACGCAGACCAGTCCTGAAGCAACAATTTACATTTAGAGAGGAGAAACGCATCCCGAACATTCTGGCATTGTTGCTCGGTGCTAACAAAAGAAGATCAATACCCGAAAATTCAGTCGACGACAGCGTTATTCCTATCAGTATGTCTTTGATGAAGTTGAACAAAAATGGAGAAAGTGGACAGCCTTAACGGATACCACTTGAGGTTGCAAAATTAGACGACAGTTCGCCATAATCCCTCACTCGACCAGTAGTGTTCGAGTAGAGATCCTTCACAAGGTTTATGTACTTCTGAGGTACACCTTTCAATGACAGACACTGCCACAGAACCTATCGGTCTACAGAGTCGAATGCTGCTTTTAAGTCAAGAAAGACCACCATTGTCGGACGCCGATAAGTATGCCTGTGTTCTAGAACCTGACGAATGGTGAATATGTGGTCGATGCAGTAACGACCAGGTCTAAAGCCGACCTGATTTTCTCGTGTTTGCAGTTCACGAGTCTTAGTTAGGCGGCCGATAATTATTGAGGCTAGTATTTAAGATGCTATGTTAGTCAAACTAATCCCTCTATGGTTGTCGCAGGATGATTTTGACCCTCTCTTATATATTGGGACGATAAGTGATTGTGACCAGTCAGATGAGATTATGTCCAAATCCCAGATTTTAGCCAAAATATTAGTCAACCTAGTCGCCAAAATTGGACCAACATCCTTAAAGACCTCTGGAGCCAATCCATCTGAACCAGCTTCTCTTCCTAGCTTCAGATTAACTATAGCTTTTTCAACTTCCATTAGAGTCGGGGGACCTACTTCAATGCTCCATTAACACTGTCTGCGAATGGTGGGTATTTGTAGAGTAGCTGAATTTCAGTTAAACTGTTCTCTAAAGTGTTCCGAACTGAGAGTAGATAAGTGTCGTCTTTTTTGAGATAGTCTCACTTACACTTGACTTATTAATTCCAGTTTCTGTTATTAGTCTAAAGAGCTGTCTTGTGTTACCGACAGCCGCTGCCTTTTCTATCTCTTTTGCTTTCGATGCCCACCACTGCTCACAGGCGTTCCTTAGACTTTTGCTCAACTTGTATCGGATTTGTTTTCGCTGTTTATCGTGTTCAGAGCCTGGTGGAATGAGTCTACGAGAATCCATCAGTGTAATAGACTTAGAAGAAATCCACTGGCTTTTGTTTACCCTATTGTTTAAATCAATAATAGATGTCAGTGCTGATTCCACAGCTGTTTGTTTATCTTTCCAAGCAACATCTGGGTCAACCTCGTTCCCAGAACCACTTAAGTGCGACCTCAGTTGTTCCTGAAATCTACTTTTGGCGTTCTCGTCACTCAGTTCAATTCTAGTGGGTCTTCCTAATGTGCCTTTTCTGCATCCAGTGAGGCACAAGCAAATGCGTGCTCGTATTAGAGCGTGATCGGAGTCTAAACATGTACTTTAGAACGAGCGACAGTCTTTTATCGAGCCTGTCCAACGATGACTGATGGCAATATGGTATATATGAGTCCATCGTTGGTTTGATGCAAGGGGTCAACATGTTAGAAGATGTCTCTCCTTATGCTTAAAACTAGTGTTTGCTAAAAATAAACGATTGTTTGAGCACAGTTGCAGCAGACGATCACCACTATTTGTTCGCTGTGCCGGAACACCAAATTACCCACCAAAATGTCTTTCTGCATGGTTTAAGCTACCTACTTGGGCATCAAAGTCACCTGCTACGAGTACTAGGTCTGACGTTTAGCTTTATGGGGAGGTTCAGAGAACTTTCTGGGCTGCAGTCAGTGGGAATGTAGGCAGAAACAACGAAAAGGCAACGACGTGTTTCCCTATCCTTCCGAATATTTACGGACCCGTTTAATCTACACTAATAGCGCTTGTTCTGCCCTCGTACTTAGTGCTATACCTACACCTGCCAGTCGACGAGAACTAGCCATTGGGTTGCCAGATACACGGAGGATATCTCGTTGGCTCTCCATTTTAGCAAGGTGAATTCGGCTGAATGAGCACACCAGGATCCAGTATGCGTGTTTCAGAGACACAGCATACATTAATGGTACGAGATTCTAGAGTCTCAGGCAGTGAGGCCTGGTGGCCGATTTGACACAGAGTGCGCACGTTGAAAACTACAGTGTGTAGTTTGAAACGAGGTTTCAGTAGACCTGGGACAGTGTTTTTCGCACTAGAATCGTTGACTATGATGACACTTGAGGAGGAAGCCAAAAGAGGAAGTTTAGTGTTGAAAGTCGATTAAGGAGGAATAATAGGAATTAAAGAAGGAGGTTGATCATGAATACAGTCGTAAGGCGAGGTGTGCATTTTTAAAATCGACATTTCCTAACCACAGCCCTCCTTGTGGGAAGGCAGCATCGCTGTTATACTGGTTGTCTGAAGGAAACACTTTACTGCCGTCACACATCTGTACAGTGAGCAGTACAACTTCGCTCTCAGACCTTTGGTTCGCTGCTTTTAGTCTTATCGCTCTTCAACCAACCTGTCGGGAATAGTAGAACCTTAAGGAACGATTGTTCCGACCAGTATAGCCTGATTGGGTCATCAAGATAAGCAAGCCCGGCCGCCACATCAAGGTAGCAGCAACGGTTGAGGTGCACCTCAGTAGAATAGTTCGCATCCACTAGCACGGCTCAGGTCAATAGTCAATGACCCAATAGATTGACATCGTGATTTAATAGAGCCACCCTTAGCTATCTTCCAACCTACTCTTGCGCCAGCCAGAACTATAGAAAGAACACTGAATATGGATCCAAGGAGCAATTCAGCAGTCAATAGATCCCATTATTGTCCGAAGAAACTACAGAAATCCTAATTGTCCTGTTGTTTTATGACAATGAGAAAATAATGGACAGCGCAAATGTTATCGACATGCATCGACTTTCGTATCATAAAATGAACTAAATCAAATTGTGCTCGTTTTACTATTGTTCTATCGATAATTGTCCAAATATATCTTTAAACTATGAAATATGCATCTAAAAAGTTGAATTACACAAAAACTTACCTATGAAACGAATAAATGGACGTACATCTCCATCATTTGCTGTTTTTAGCAATTCATAATAAGTAAAACGATCTTCTATTTTAATAATAGCTGGAGGTAAACCAGAACGCATTAAAATTAAATTCATAAGAAGTCGAGCAGTACGTCCATTTCCATCATAAAATGGATGAATAAACACTAATTTCCAATGCGTTAGCGCAGCTAATTCAATAGGATGCATATCGGCTATTTCATCAGAACTTAACCAGCTAATTAATTCCGACATTAGATCAGGTACACTAGATGGAGGTGGTGGTTGGTGATCAGCAATATAAACCTTAAAACAAATACCAATTAGTAAATAATGATATATTTAAATTATAAACAACAACAAAACTCATACTAATATCATAAAAAACTATGTTAATGATAGGTTAATTTTTCCAACTACCACTAATTGATTCACTACTTGTCAATCCAATCATGACCAACACTAAAAACCAGTTAGTTGGTCTTAATGTTGATATAAGCTAATGCAAAATTTAAAGAATAATCAGTCATAAACAGCCTAGAATCTTGTGCATTTATGTGGTTGCATTGATTTAAGTTTCTACATTTGGTATTAGCACAGGGTTAGTGGTGGACTGGATATAGGAAATACAGTGTAAAATAACGGTAAGAAATCGAAGACAGGAAAATTTAAAGTGGTAAGTTGTTTAATACTAAGTGAAAGAAAAGAATATTTTTTGTGATATGAGGACTGATTTTGTGATTTTTCTGATCATAGATTACGATTATTTAGTGGATATTAACTAGAAAGTCTACACTTCATGGTATAGTTCGAATCAATAGTTGGAGACATGAATAGCTGAAAAAGTCTTGTTCTGACTGTTGTTAGACCTTTATCAACTTACTCTTGTATTAGTTGCTGTAGTGTGTCTTCATGAAAGGTGACTAAGCATCAAATAATATATTCCGACTAATTTAGTCGACAAAGAGTTCACAACTTTTACTTCTTACTCTACAATAACATTACTTCTGTGATTCCACCTTACGTCAGTAATATATGGAAAATACCTATGATGTAATACGAGTATCTTGTGCAGATCTTCTGTCTTTAAATAGCAAGTTCTAAGGTCGTAAGGTCGTACAAGGTGTAACCATGATCTAATGAAAAGGAAGAATTCTAAAACGTTAATAGGTAGCATAATGTGGTTTTGAGAATTTACTTACACTATTGTTGTAGCAATAGATGTACAGGCCTTAAGATTGATGTAGCCAACTGATATGATCAACATATACACTCTCACATTAATAGTTACAATCTCATAACCAATTAGTTGACATAGTCTAATCCCAATTTGAATCAGCTTGGAGGTGATATCTCTGAGTGGTGAAACTCAGCTCTAATCAAGGCTACGGACACATCACGCTGTTGAGTGACAAAAAGTGTAATTGTCCAAGATTAGGGTTACATGGTGATTTTCTTCCAAATACATGACATCCTAAAAATATATCACAAAGCTGTCGATGAACTACCTGAGAACGTCGTAATCTTCCAGCTTCCCTCAAATCCACAAATGATAAGAGTCTACGATGCAATTCCAATATATTTTCCAGTGTTATAGCAGTCAAATCTCCACGTAAAAGAGTGTTGTTAATATATCTGAGAGCTGAATCCATACCAAGAACCTAAAATATAACAGGTAAATTGGGCGTCAATTAATTGTTTAATTAATTAACAGTTTACTATTTCTATAGAATGAATGGTAAAGTGATTTGAAATCATAAAACAGGATTTTTAAGTTGTCGAATGATGTACTACACAATCTTTTAATACTTAAACTGACGAGTAAGAAGACAATATGACAACGCTTATGAATTGTATTGTTTTGTATATATTTGACAGTTGAACATTTTTTTCATTTAAATATAGTTCTTAAAGCAAGTGACAAACTGATGCAAATAGATAGTGAAGAACAATGTTTCATTAGATTATGATACCCGTAGAAAAAGTGTACTACGACAAGTCAAAGAGGTAATGGTTTTCTAACTAGATACAAGTTTAGGTGCTTAACTTTGGATTTACGCTTTTTATGCGAGGATGAGGGGCCCTATTCAGCTACTTACATCGAAGTGGGTGGAGGCGGAGTCGAAGCTTGCAACGTAGTGGGTGGGAGTAAAATATTTCAACTACTAATCTGGCATTTTGCAGTAATACGTGAAACATGCATAAAATTTCATGCGTAATCACTTAAACCGAGTATGATACATACATTATTAAAAGACAGTTGGGGACGAAACTCCAGTATGAAAATGATGACCAGTAAGATATATACAAATATAATGCAAATCATTTGTCCAGTACAGATTTACGTAATCGATTTTTTTCACAGTTTATGTGAGGGCCAGTAACAATATCTTGCACCCAAATCAAAGTATGAGGAACCGGTCAGTTAAAAGAGAAATAGTCCGACCACTAAACTAACGCTAGTACGATAACAGATTATACATAGTTTATTCGTGAATATGACCTAGGCAAATTGCAAAAAAATACGGACAAAACTTTGTACAAATACACGAAAATCATAGTACTTCATTTTGCTCCAATAGGCTTTTTCCACCAACAGCTAATCTTGTTTCCAAAATTGATCGAGTTTGAGCCAATGTAAGCGTATTACCCTCAATAGCATTTGAGTGATATACATGCTTGAAATAATGTTCAACTTTAGCACGACGCAAACCTGGATCACCTTCTGGAATATGATAGAACTGACGGACTTTAAAATCAATTGCATTGAGACTACGCAAAAGAAAGAAGAAAGAAGGTGAACAAATAAAACAGGGACTGTTGAAGATGTAACATCCCCAAAATACAACGTATTATAAAGAAAATCAACCTTGAAGTTAGTATATTGTTTACGATATCTTTTGACAAGTTAATTTTTAATGCATTTTCCTTGTATTGATTGATTCACTGTGATTTTACGTTCAGCGACAACTAGTCAGTTTGATAGAATTCTGTAATTAGTAATCATTTGATAATGGATATATAATTTGAATAAACTTGAATACGATTTAATTCTTCTGAGGTTTCTATTAAAAGGCTTCTATCTAACCTTGAACTTATCATTCTAATTAGCAGACAGGAAAAAAGAAGATAGAAGCAGTTTTACTAATTGAACTCAAGTTGGAGTTGTGAAAAATCAGTCTAATGCAAAAACGTATCAACAACACAGCATGAGATCTAAAAAATATTATTTTACATAAATTTGCTGGTTCAGACTGTGTTTTGTGACTTGACACTAGAAGCATATAGATTTAGGGTCATGAAAAGCAACACTAATCCAATAAAGCTGAAAATAATCTTAGTAATAATTATATGAGGGATATATGAGTGCAAGATCCGAATAAATAACAAAACAAAGCACCACTAATCATCTATGATTATCATAGAACATAATAATAATAAGGTAAAATTATTTTTCTAGCTTTACATATAATTATTGCTACCACTAGATTATTAACCATTGATTGTATCGTGGAGTCCTACAGACAACAGTTGACTATCTTTGGTGAACAGAACAATATTGTTTATATAGGCAGATTAAATACAGAAAATAGAATAAATTGTATCAAGCAGCTACACTTCTCCGCAGGATGTAACAGAAACACCATCAACATAAAAATTAAAAAAGACGGTTTGAATTGATAAGAGACCATAGAACATAGGAAGAAATGTTTAGAACATAAAAGACAAAAACTGAATGAATATAGGTCATTGTCATCGATTCCGAAACAGACAAGTTAGACGAAACCAAGGAATGACAAAACTGAAACTTGATGTCTGTTCATGAAGTTATTGACTGTTGTATTGAGCTGTGTAGGTAGACGCAGATTACATGGTTGGGGTCCACCTGACAACGGTGATCAGTTGTTGGAAACTTTGAGTGACATATTTCAGAATAGGCCATTAAGGAGAAGATGGATTCCATCTTCATTTTATAAGTCTCAAGTCTCAATATTTTTTGTACTTTTATGTCTTTTAATTTGTTCCTTCTTTTCGGACTGTATTAGCAAGTTTTTAATCTTTCCAACGATAATTATTACTAATACAACTTCGACCCTTGATAATTCTGTCTCGCTGTGTAAATCATCGGTTGCTATCGTCTCGCGCATCCCAACCATATAGTCTACACCTACCAACATGGTTCGGTCCACTTGTTAGTGACTTCATGGATTTGTGCCATGTTTTGCTCTAGCCGCCCCTAGCTTTCTTCCAACCTACTGCTACACTATAAAACATCGCTCATCGGGGAAGTCGGTGGTTGGGCATAAATAACACGTGTCCCAACCTCTACTCTTACCGGCCACGTTTCACTGCCATAGAGTAAGACGGAACAAACTGATGTCATCGGCATATTGTAAGCAAACAAGTGAATCTCCCGGTAGAAGTTCAACTCCTGGAAATGTAGATGAGGAAAGTGTTATCTCTAAAAGCACGTCAAGGACAAAGTTAAACAAGAAGGGAGGGAGTGGACAGCCCTGAGGAACACCACTTGAGGTAATCAATTCTGATTATAATTCGCCATAAGCTCTCACTTCGCCAGTTGTGTTTGAGTAGAGAGCTTTTATAAGGTTAATGTACTTCTTCGATACTCCTTTCAGTGACAAGCACTGCCACAGAACTTCATGAAAATAGTCAAATGCCGCCTTAAGGTTGAGAAATACTACTATTGTAGGACGTCTGAGTGTGTGTGTATGTTCTTGGACCTGAAGTAAAGTGAATATCTGGTCTATACAGACACGCCCAGGTTGAAAACCAACCTGGTTTTCTCTAGTCTGGTCTTCACGAGCTTTAGTTGGGCGTAGAAGTATCATTGAAGCTAATATTTTAGACACTATACTAGTCAAACTGATTCCTTTATGATAGTCACAATAGGAATTTTGTCCTATCTTATAGACTGGCACAATTAGTGATCATTTCAAAAGTTTGAGGCAGAAAACTGCAGTAAACAGATGCTTAGATCGCCACTAACACAAACAAAATTGGACCGGCCAACAAATTATTTGAGTTAAGAAATATGAGGTTCGAAATAATCCCCTACGATATGAAAGTACGGCATATTCCTAACAGATGAATAAACCTGCACGTCGAAATCGCCCTTAATATCAAGCGTAAAAATGTTTTATGCTTTTTTGCTGTTTTATCTAGAATGATATGCATCAATTGAACCTGAGAATTTTGTTATGCAACCATCACAACTAAGTAAGCGGAACAGATAACGGCAGTATTATAGACTAGAAGGCTGCATTTATTTTTGTATCGCTTTTAGTGTTTTATGAAATTTATTAGATCAAAATGAAAGAAAAATTATGAATATCAATGTAAGCTAACGTTTTGACCAGTACTTCTTCATTTTAAAAGCAAAACCAGTTACTTTTTTTTCATAACAGGCATCTATTTTTGTCACTACGCCGACCCTATATACAGTTAGCACATGGAAGCTCCAACAAGAAAGTCACCGGGAAACCGATTCACCTTAAAATGGTTCAGATAGGTATTGACACTATCAACATATGACTGAAGCAAATTACATTATCCCTCCCACAACGTGAGTTCCATAAACATGTTTATTATAAAATTTCGGATTTGAAGGATGTATACAACTTCCTGACGCCATATTATAAGAAGGATCTTCGTTCAAATGCGGACACACAGTTTACAACGCGACTGTAGATAAGTTGACTAGGCAGTTGTTTTCAGGTTATTTAAATAGCCTTAAAGCCCAGTATGTATACTGTACCTTCAGTCCAAAGATCTGGACTTGACTACCGAATCCGGATAATTTATTCACATAAAAATCTTCGCGAGACTACAATTTATAGACAAATCAGTCATATCTAAGATAACAGGTTTTGGATTTTGACGCAAAGTTCGACAACCCATTTTACTAAATAGCGTTTTGTAATGTCAGTTCGTGATGAAAACCCTAAATCTAATTCCTAACCTTTAACCAATAACTGCAAATTATAATATTAATTCCTCACACTGGTTTACAACCCTCATTTAGCTCTGCTTAGCAGGTGGACATCGTCAAGGTCAATTTAGCGTCGCTAAAAGGTCGTCCATAAGTTATAGTTTCAGCAAAAGCTTTTATCAAAGATAAGAATCGAAAGTACTTACATTCGTTGATCTATTTCCTCCACAATTGGCATTAAACGTTCTCGGTGTACACAAGCTTTAGAAATGGTGGGATCAACAATCAATGCCTTTGTATAAAGATGTTCAGCAGTCAAGATAAGACCATCAGCATCATTGTTTGGTACTTGGCCATAGACAGGGATCAGAGACTTCGTTAAAGGAAGAGCAACATGTGGGGTAGATTTCCCATAGTAATAAGAACTCTCTATAGCTTCACCCAAAGCAATTAAGACATCTATATTGTCCGGGTCAAGTTTGAATGCATGTTCCAGTAGTTTCTTGGCTTTCGCAAAATGACCAGTAGCCTGTTGTAGTGAAGCTGCACGCAGAGACTGTAGAGCTTCTGATTTTTCACCTGAGACTGTGTTAAGTAAGGAATAATAGCTCACTTTCTGAGGGGACAACGCGGGTGCGCATTAGTGGAGGTAAATTGAATTCCGATCTAGCCTTTTTGTAGGTGTAAATTATATCTCTCACCAAACGCCTGTAAATATATTCCCCACCTGAATCTTGATACTTAGGTTCGCTTGTGAGGAAAAATATCTTCCCAGCCTTTCGAATATCGTCTAACCGAAAGATTAAGTGATAGATGGTGGATGACTCAAAAAGCTTGGTGACGTTCAATTTTTTGTGAAAAGTCAGTAAACATCCTAGTAATGACTTCCAAAACTCAAAGGGAGTTATAGCCAAAAACAAAGCGTAAAGGCTGATGAAAAACACCATTTTTTTCGTACACCCTATTCTCATGTGATAGGTCACTTTATTCAAAAAGACCGGGAAACAACAAGACCTGGTAAACACAAGCTATGGCAACAACTTCCAATTATCAATAGACTAGGATTCAGACTACGACATGTACATTTAAATAAAGAGCAGACTATAGATCTTAGTCCTCTTCTCTTGAGGTCACACTAGTGACCTGTTTGTTGAATGGGTAATATTTGAAAATTCAAATATTATTTGTCAGTATTAAGTAATCATTCTTCTCCTTGCATCTGAATTCAGGTTATAGATTGTGGTTTTTCACAATGAAATTGTTCGTCTCTTCATACGCACAGTTCCTTTTATTATTTTATTATTTTGTTTCGTACCTGAGATCGAAGGGTAGAACAAGTCGGTTATTGATTGTCAAAGTGATCGTGAAGTGACACTCACAGATTCGAAAGGACGCTGGTAGTTTTTGATCCTTTTATACGTTGTTCACAAGTCACACCGTTAAAACTCACTAATCTTCAGTAGATTGGCTTGTAGGTTTGGAATTCTTCGACCAGTCACCCTGAGTGCCTTGGAAGACTTTGAATGTCTATGTGAACAGAATGGTTGTGTTCCGTTGATAGAGTCCAGAAACTCCAGGTGTTCAACAAGTTTGCACTTTAATGAGCTGCCCGAGAGAAAATTATGTCGTGAACAGCAAAGCATTTTCCATCAGCCGGTACCAAATGAATTCATTCCGAACCCTTTGCATGACTTTTACTGACGCGGAAAGCAGGACAATCGGTCTGTAATTGAATGTTCCAAATTTCCCATCCTAACGTATACGAGCATGATCACACCTAAGTAGCTGTCCTTTGTACTTTTCATAATACCTGAGTTACCTTTTATACAGGAGTCTGTAGAATTTCTCATAATGGATTCCACAATTTAGACCAGAACACCAGTATGTCTACACATATTTGAAGTACATTTACAACAGCATTACCTGCAACCATATAATATTTATGTCTAGGCGGGTATTAGCACCGTTATCTATACTACTGTACTAATAAACCTAGTCGAATTTCTGAATTTTCCATTACGTGGTTACATAAAATGTCAGGCCTTACTTGCACCCTTTTAATGATGTTTGTAGTAATTCTTCAAGACTCAGTTCCATACAATAGGACCGTCTTCACATTCTAATTGAAGATTCTGGCTTTGATGTTATTGATAGATGTTTTGAATTCCGTATATTCTACAACTGTAGAAATTCTGCCCTTGCTTTGCCAATCCTTACCTTAAAACCTGCATCGGACCTTTTTTTTCTTCGATGATGTATTACTCCACCATCCACGTGTGGTCGCCTTGTAAAAACTACCTGTTTTCGTATTAAATATATTATGCCAACCTCAGCCAACATGTAACTCCACCCGTAAATCTCTTAAGGCTACTGTCGGCCGTCACTCTATCAATGATTAAAGTAATCAGCATGAACATCGAACAAATTAAGAATGAAAAGGCAACAGCATCTGAAAACATGCCAGCGGAAGCACTGATGTCAAACACGAACGTAACTGCAAACATGCTCCACGTTCTATTCAGGAAGATTTGAGATGAACTGTAAGTGTTGATGAAACAGAGATTCCTGACCAATTTCGTTATTTGGTAATAAGAGTTCGGACAACAAAACATGTGATAACTTTTGCCAAAGTCCGAAGGTCAAAGCCACTGGGAAATACTTACTGTATCATAACAAAATCACTGAAACTTTTGGGATCAAAAGATTAGCATAAGCTGATGTTTATATAGTCCAGAACATCTACCTTGTCACAAAGCTTCAGGAAAAAGACTATCTTTTTTTGTGCTTATTAGACTTGTGCACATTTTTTAAATCTATTTATTCAGATTTAATGTAACCCTGCAATCACACTGTAGTTACGTCATAGTAGTAAGTAATAAATAATTCAAAAAAATTTAAACTTATTATATTCTATTGATTGTTTGTAATGTCAGTATATGTTTTAATTTGTAAAATAGAATGGTAAAAGTAATCAACTGATTATTATGTCGACGTAATTATTTATCTGATAATATAGTGACATTTGGTGAACTAATGAAAACTAGTAATAATAGATGACTGTTTATGATTTCAATTTTGAAAATTTAACCACTGAACATCCACTATCACACATGAAATTGGACTCAAAACTATGCGAATCCATAGTGAACCCTATATTTTTTATAGTCATGCGTTCTAGATTCCACCGTTAGCAAAATCCCATTTTTGTATAAATTTAAGAATTTATGTTTGTGAAAACGTTAAAATGACGCTTGTAGAGCAAGATAAGGCTGCCAAAACCAGATATTCGATCAGTCATAGTCAATGTAATATCTGGTACCAAATTGTACCAGACCACGTTATCACATCTTAAATCAGTACTGTAAGAGGGGGGAAATTAATATTTATTAGATAATTTTAGGGCTACTAAATTGACATGTGCTCTATTTAGAAGGTTTAAATCTAGTTGACTGAGTTTAGATAAAATGAGAGATGACTCGGTAGTTTCACTGCCCTAACATCTTCGAATGATAATACATAGTTTATATTGAAATTCATTTTATAGTGTTGAGAATTTATTTATCACTGAAATGAAGGAATACTTATTGACTATAATTGCCTGTAAATGGATATTTGTATTAAATCTATATTCAATTGCATACAAACATTAAAATAGACCTTTAAGGTAGTGGTTGGAGGTGTTCAACAGGAAACCCTGTTGACTACCTTCAACGACCATCCTGTCTCAACACAGTGCACGAAACGTCGAGTCAACTAGACTGGTCAATAGGAAGGACCTGACATACATGACATTGATCAGCACCCAGTGATCAGTCAATTGTTAATAAACCTTTAAACCTCATTCCCTAACATTAATCTTCGTAGTTAGAGGTATGTCACTGAACCGTATTCACAAACTAATATTTGTTATTCAGAGATCAGAAAGAAAAGCTACTATATGATTACTTATTGCCTTTTAACAGTGATCGGGAAAAAACTAGAAATATTCGGAAAATGATTGATTCTAGTCCATGGATGAAATCATTTTTAATTATTATTAATTCTTATTCTGGATAATTATCTACAATTCATGAACAACACTTTGTTTTGCAGTCGATGCAGCTATAGCATTGCCGCTGGAGTTTGTGGAGAATTTTAAACTTTTATAGTTCTCGTGATAGAATAATCATAGTTGGTGACAAACTTTAGGAGGTAATGACAGGGGTTCTAGTGAGAAGCTGTGGTCAGTGGAGTGTAACCAATTCAGATGTGAGATCATTACCCACCTCAAGCAATGGATAATGGTCAGGCAATATCATAAATTAATTCTCGTGGTATCGAATGATCGTACAAAAGTTTACAAGCAGGACTACTATGAGTACACGAGTCCGTGCAATGTCACAGTCAACGGAAGAATGTGTGTTTTTAGTACTGTTAAACAAACAGGTACAGTAAAACAATTACTGGTACAATTGGTCATAATAATAATTGTTTCCTTTATACCAATCGCGTTTTTTTCATAAAAGTAGGTCACTACAAACAAATCACAGTTACACACATCTTAGATGAAAAAACGGACTACTTGATAAACTATGATCAGTAGTTGGAGAAATTGGGTAAAGTAATGGAGATTTAATCATTTTATTTCATCCTTTGACTCTCGATAGACTTGCATATAAATCAAATTTTTATTCCTTATTTTTAAAAACAGACTCTTACTATCTATTCTTTCGCTTTATCATTCATTATTTTGATTATTTCAACTTTTCCACTGTTACTCTTATTAAATTCATCTGTTTGGGAGGTTGTATGGAGAGTTGATTTGATGTATTTTCATATCACGTTATAAGTTAATTATGACTGGCTCATTGTTAAACTCTGTTCAACAAGATTTCTTTTTCATATGTACTTTTATAATTAAGAAAAATCTCTTATAGAGATTCAAAACAATTCTAGCTAACTAAATAAACTTTTCAAACGACTCTTAATACAGTAAAATAGAATAGCTTCATTTGTGTGGAGTATGTAGTGGATCCCAGTGAAAGAGCTTATTCAAGATATAACAATAAGCACAGTTACTAACATTATACCAAAAAGAATTAACACTAGAACAAAAAAATGGTATATTAAATAACAAAGTGATAATAAGTATTATGAAGTAAAAATTGGTCAGAACTCAGTGACCAGTCACTGTAACTATCTCAGTCCTGTAGAAGGTCACTAACCGTCCGAAAAGTTCAACAGTATCTTAGGCTATGAAACTGGGTGACAAAAGTTCAACTTCCTCAGGGAGCATCCATCCCCATAAAATTCTAAGTGCATCTAATTGTTGAATGCCAACTAGCAGGAAACCAATTCTCATGTTTTTTCTGACAACCGCCCCCAACCATTAAACATCAAATGTCGGTTGTATTGTAACAAACTGGAAGACGCGAAATCTTCATAGTTAGATTTAGTTGCAATTTTGAAGTATTGTTGCATAACCATACTTATCGGCTTTTTACACCAGTCACTACTTCTGTATCTTCTAGAATATGCAGTGATTTAGTTTACATATATAATAATTTTTCATCACTAGCTGATTTCAGATTAAGTGCATTGAAAACCAGTGATCAGGTGACAAGTAATCAGTATTAGCTTGAAACCCCTACCATTTCCCATTACATCAAATACCGGATCAATAGGTCACGTGGCAATCATGGTACTTTTAGATCAGTATGTGAGATTTTAATCAACTTGTAATCTAATGTAATTTATACTTATGTTTATATTTTAAATGTATGACTGTTTTTTAAGTCTTTTGTTTACTAATCTTATAATCACAGTTCACTCAGATGTAAACAAACACAATCTATAAGAGGTTGCCAACTTGATAATCGATAACTTAGTTTTTCTTCATTAATATAAAATCACAGTAAAAATAAATCATTTCGTGACAAGGAGACAGATATCATCGATAGTAGCGAACAGTTGTGATATATTACGAATAGACTTAAGTTGGTCTAGAGAACTACGCTCTGTTCATAAAACCTAA